AGAATCTAATTCATATCTTAACAGTTAAGAATATTTTGTGTTTTTTTTTTTTACATCAGCCTTCTAAAGAAATTATTGTTGGGGGGGCGTGTCATTGGCTCTGTCTCTTCTTAATGTGGAATTTAAAGTTGCAATGAAACTTCTCTATAATATTTTCTTAAAACCACATATAAATTTTATGTAGTAGGGATGCCTGGGTGGCTCAGCGGTTGAGTGTCTGCCTTCAGCCCAGGGCCTGATCCCGGACTCCCAGGATTGAATCCCACATCGGGCTGCCTGCATGGAGCCTGCTTCTCCCTCTGCCTCTCTCTCTCTTTCTCTGTCTCTCATGAATAAACAAATGAAATCTTAAAAAAAATTTTATGTAGTAATACTCCAACAAACCAAAATAATAAATTATCCTATATATTGCCAAAAAAGTTAAAACAGTGAATGTTTCTGGGGCATTCCTATGAAATGAATGTCTCTGTCCCTCCTCCCTCTCCACCAATTTATATGTTGAAACCCTAATCCCCAGTGTGATAGTATTCAAGGGTGGGTCTTTGGGAGATAATTAGATAATGAGGGTAAAGCCCCCATGAATGGTATTAGTACCCTTATAAGAGACATGAGAGAGATGATCTTTCTCCACCGTGTGAGGATACAGCAAGAAGCTTGCCATTTGCAAAGCAGGAAGTAGGCTCTCACCAGACACTGAATCTGTTGGTGCCTTGATTTTGGCCTTTCTGGCCTCCAGAACTAAGAAATACATGTGTGTTGAGTCTGTGGCATTTTGTTATAGCAGCCTAACCTGACTAAGACAGAAATCATTTACATATTTTTTTTTTGCTAATGTCCTGAGATATTGGGATGACCATGAGGAAACTGGTACTACTGGATCATGCCATTGCCAAATATGGCAAGATTTTTGTTGTCAGGCACTTATCATGTCACTATGAGAGATAGGCCATCTTATGCTTTCAGAAATGGAATACTTGGCAAATAATACTTAGAAATTTTTAACCTATCGTAATGTAGTCTGACCCTGGAAAATTAGCCCTTATTCCCAACTAATAACACCAATCTCCTTCTCTGAGCACTCCATGTCTCTTATCAGGAAAGGTTATTTATAAACCTGCAAACAGTGTTCAGAGTTTCCCCCAAAGAACTGTTTCCCAAACACAAAAGAAAGAGTCAGTGTGAACAGTCTTTGAAGCCTGTTGCTCATTGTCTGTTTCCTTGCTCTGTGCATCTTTCTTATATCCACCAATACCCTCTACAGACTGTCTTTAACAATGAGGAGCCTTGCTGAAGTTCTGCCAGTTTGATCTCCCAATTATTTTATCCATTGCTTGGATCTAAATGTAAAGACCTACCCATTCTACTCCTTTCCCTTTCCTTCTGTAAGTTTCCCACCAGCTTTGTTTTCTTCTCTCCTGTGTGAATTCAATCGCGTGAATCAAAACTCTGATGCTCTATCATTCTAGCTGCCATGTGTTTAGTAGTGTGTTTTGAATAGATTCAGCAAGATTTAAGAGAGAAAGAAAAAGAGTAAGAGAATGGCACAGGTAGAGCAGATGGGCCACTGGGCACTTGGAGCAACACAAGCAATTCCAGGCGACTATTCAGCAATTTGGAGAGAATAATCAGTCACTTCAGGAGCATGACTGTGAAGCTTTTATCCAATACAACACACCAGTACAGTCTATGTGAAACAGAGGAGTCAAAATGCCTGGTGACTCTGAGGACTGAAACACAGGCTAGATCCTACTCTTCCCTACATGAGTGGAAATGTCTTCAAAATGAGCACCATTAAAGAAGGTGGAGCTGAGAGTCAACTTCTACCTCCTAAAGGAATCCAACAAAGCTAGCACTGGGTTAAGTGAAAATCAGATGATGTAATAGTAAGAGTGGAATGGAAATTTTGCCATGGTGTGGCATCATTAACTACACCTGGTCAAAGAGGGGTGAACTGAGCAATGTGATCTTGGAATCCACACACCCCGGCTACGAAAATACATACAGATCCACAGTCTATTGCCTTTCATCCCCTTTTCTTTTTTTCCAAGCTCATGGAAGATGGATTTTGAGGCCAAAGAGGCAGCAGAGAGAAGGGAAATAGGCCTTCCCCACATCTCTTTTGTTTCATTCCATGTCAGACTCACCACGGTGACACATGTGCACTTTTAACACCTGTTTCCTTATCTCTCAAATACTATTTTGCTGCTTCTTAGGAGATGAGCATGAAGCACGGAACTGGAGGGTAAGAATGGATCTGAGGCTATATAAATCCGATGCTCCCCTTTACCGGAAAGAATAATGAAAACATAAGGCTTGCGACTGCATTAGGTCTTTTCTTAACAGCAGGACAGAAATCTTACATCTCTCATCTTGTTCTTCTCCCATCCTGGCCTTCTTCCTTCCCGACTCAGGGGAGATTTAGAAAATTTGGGTTCAGTGGTCCATCCGGAGAAATGACCAGACACAAACGCAGACCCTGTAGTGCAGACACAGCACTGAGTTGTGATGTGCCAAAAAATGTTCAAAAGGAAACAAGCCAAATGTGAAGGAAGAGGACCCTTCCAGTCATTACAAGGAAGACACATGAAATGACCACAAATGTGTTTTTTTTAATTTTTAAAATTTATTTATGATAGTCACACACACACAGAGAGAGAGGGAGGGAGAGACACAGGCAGAGGGAGAAGCAGGCTCCATGCACCGGGAGCCTGACGTGGGATTCGATCCCGGGTCTCCAGGATCACGCCCTGGGCCAAAGGCAGGCGCCAAACCGCTGCACCACCCAGGGATCCCGACCACAAATGTTTTAACAGAGAGATTCCCACCATGATTTACTGCCAGGTTGAGATGAAGTGCATTTTGTTAATATCTCCTACATTTTGTGGGTCCCCCAAGGGTAGACTCATTGTGATCTATTAGAATTTTAATGCCCACGAGGTGACAAGCTTTGGTCCTGTTTGCAACAATTCTTCAGGGTGTCTTGTACAAATCTGAGGTGGAAAAATCTCACAGCGAAAGGTTCTTGAGAAAGCACAGAACAGCATGTTAATTATAAATGGGGGAAATGTTCTAATTTGGGTTAAGTTTTGTAGAAAAAAAAAGACCTCAGGGCTATTTCAGGTACTAACCGGGTTTTCCGTAAATTGAAATATAGATGGGAGGGTTTCTTTGGACAGCTGTTTCTTCAAATTTTTAATAGTCAAAGAAAGGGTGCCCCGATATTGTTAAAGGGATGGCATCTTCTTAAACAAACAATGAATCTCATCTTGTCATCCTCTGCTCTCCCTTTTGTCAATCACACATAGCGCATTCCTTTCTGGAATGTTATTTTTCCCCCCAACCCCACTCTCCTTGGCAAATCACCAGTATTTTTTTATTTGTGCATTTGGCCCCAGTGGCGGTCTTAGCAGGCCTTCCTGTAAGCATGCTTGCTTGCTTATTTATTTATTTATTTATTTGTTTGTTTGTTTATTTATTTATTATCATGCTTACCTTTTAACCACGTTCAGGGCAAGTAATTCTACACGCTGCACCAACATGGAGAAAAAAAATAAATAAAAAATGCCTGTCATTTTTTTCACAGTCGGATCCCTATCCAGGCAATCTAGATAAAAGAAAATGTGAAAAAAATACAACTGTCTCTCTTAAGAGTCAGTTATTTAACTGGAATCTGGAGCAATGGGCGTCGGAGATGCCCGAGCCAGGAAATCAGTTTCCTTCGAGAGAAATACGGTCTTGTGTTAGGTCTAAGTTTTCTGTGCCAGATTCTCAGGGGTTTGTCTCCCTTTGGGGAGTGGAGCTGCTCCGGTCGGAGCCCCAGTGAAGAAGCCACCAGGGCCCCCTGCTGGGTGGTTTGCCTCCTTTAACTCTTACACCACCACGGGCGAGAAAGGCGCGCGTGGCCTCCGTGCACAAAGGAGACTGTGTCTCAGCGCGTTAAGTGCCAGGTCGCCGCGGGAGCGTCCGCCGGCAAGTTTCAGAGGCACAGCTGGAAGGCGCGTCTGCCTACGTCCCCTTCAGGGCGCTGCAAACACCGAGCGATGCGTTGTGGCCTGGCGTGCTCTCTCTCTCCAGTTTCTAGGATGAATTCTTCGTGCGAAGTTGTTTCTCCTCCCACTTCCTCCGGGCCCGTTGCGGTGAGCGTTGGGGTAGTAAGTTAGGGTGCTCGAGCCCGGGTGTTTAATTCGGGGCGGGCGGGGCCCTGGCGCTGTCCCGGGAAGGGGGTGCTAAGGTTCCGCGGGGCGGCGGGAGCGCGGAGCCGCCGCAAACCAGAGAGGGAGGGTCTCCCCCCAAGCCTCACGGCAGCAACGAATGAATGAATGAATGAATGAATGAACGAACGAACCCACGAACCCACGAACCAACGAAGCAATCTCCGCAACCGCGCGCTAGGGCCTCGGGCGGACCTGCGGGGAGGGTCGCGGCCAAGAGGCGCCTCGGGAGCGCCCTCTGGCGAGGACGGAGCGCGCGTGTCCCCGCCCCGGCCCCCCTTCCCGCCGCCGCGGCGCCCCCGCCCGGCTCTCCGGGTTCACTCTCGGTCTCTCACTCCGGGAGACACAGACGGCAGCTGCCCGCGCGTGCGGGGACCGGGGCGCCGAGGGAGGGACGCGAAGCCCGGAGCCCCAGCCGCGGTCTCCGCGCGGGTGGGCTGAGCCGACCCCCTCCCCGGCCACTTGGCGGGCGCGCCAGAACTTGGGGACGCGGCTCGGGAGGAGCCGGGGCGGCGGCGGCCGAGACAGGGGCGCGCACCCGGACGGGAGCGGAGTGAGCGGCGGGCTGGGCGGCGGCGGCCGCAGCCGCAGCCGCAGCGGCGGGTCCCCGGCGCCCCCCCGCGCCCCCCAGCCTCGCCGCCTCGCAGGCAGCGCCGCCTCCCCGGGCCGCGGCCGCCCGGCCGGGTCCCCTGCGCGTTCCCGGGCCCCGAGCCGGCGCACGATGCGCCCGGCTGCGTTCTGATCGCCGCCGCCGCCGCCGCCGCCGCCGCCGCCGCCGCCTCCGCCGCGATGATCCCCGCCGAGCCGCCGCCGCAGCCGCTGCCGCCGCCGCCGCCGGCCCCGCCGAACCATGTGGTGAGCACCATCGAGAACCTGCCGGCCGAGGGCGGCGGCGGCGGCGGCAGCCTGTCCGCCTCCTCCCGGGCCGGCGTCCGCCAGAGGATCCGCAAAGTGCTGAACAGGTGCGCGGGGGCGCGGGGCGCGGGGCGCGGGGCGCGGGCTGGGGCTCCCCCTCCCGGGCCCCCGAGGCCCCTCGGGACGGAGTCGCAGGGCACCCGGCGACGGTGCGCCCGGAGCCCGCGGGGAGGCCGTGGCAGCTCGTCCCGGAGCGGAGCGCGGAGCCCTGGGGCGCGCGGGCGGCCGGCGCCGGCGGGTCCGGGGCGGGAGTTCGCCGAGAGGCGGGTCCGCACTCGCGCCGCGTCCCCGCGCGTGCACATCCCGTTCCCCGCTCGGCCCCGGCTCCGCGCCCCGGGGACCGCGGAGGGCGGGAGGGATGCAGGGAGGGAGGGAGGGATGGAGGGACCCCCCCCCAGGGGGCCCCGGCCCGAGGTCTCCAGCCTCCACGCGGGGGCACGGGGTCGCGGCGGCGGCCGGGCGGGCAGGGCGGGGGCCCCGCTGCTCGCCGTCCGACGCTCCAGTGGCCGCTCGCCCGCGCGCACGCGGGGACCCGGGAGCGCGGAGCTGGAGGCCGGGGGCACCCAGGCGGGGCGCGAGGAGCCTGCGAGGAAGGTGCGCGCGGGGGCGGCCCGGAGCCCGGGGAGGCGAGCGCAGACCGCGCTGGGCCCTGCGCAGTGGACGCACCAAGGACGAGGCGTTTTAGGAGGGGAACCCGGGTTGACGCGTAGACGCGGGCCCTGGCGCAACTGTTGGGTGAAAGGCACTTTTTCTACTTAAGTAACTTGAAATGGTCGAAGAGCTGACGCTTAAAAAAAAAAGAAAAGAAAAGAAAAGAAAAGAAAAATCGGGTAATTGGTTTTGCGTGTTTTTATTCGAGTGCGTGTGTGCCTTCTGGATGCATCCGTGCGGGGGACTCTTAAGGTCGCCCTGGTCATACAGGTTTCCGCGCGGCGGTGCTCTGCGTAGCCGAGTCCCCCGCGGGGCTCTGCATAGGACTCCGCGGGGCTGCAAGCTGTAGTGGGAGCAAAAAATATGTACAGAAGTGGAAGCTTGGAGCATGGTTTAAATCAGGTATAACAAATCCCAAACCATTCGAGTCGCCTAGTGAAGACTTGACCTGTATGTGAGCTTTCAGTAGGTTTCCATGTACTAGGACACCACCAGAAATTCACGTTGGAGGAGATTATGAGTTGGTAATAGGAAGTCAAGCCTCTACTTTCCCTCCAAGTTGTAGGTTAGGACAACACCTTCCAGAATATTACACTTTAAAAGAGACCAGAGTAAATCAAGAAGATGCTGGCTTGGTACATAGTATGTGGGTTTCCTAGTCCTCATGAACACCTCTGGGTGGTGTTTTTTTTTTTTTTTTTTTTGAATTGTAAATATCTTGGCATTGGATGTTTAGATTTTTAAGCAGAGTATGTTAAATATCACTGTCCGTCATCAAACTGAAAGGAAAAAAAAACCTGGTGCAAGCGTTCATTTTTATAAGTTATTCTTGATTCCGTGCAGATTGTTTCTTGGTATTTAATGAGTCTTAGAGTCCGGAATAAAAAGATCACCGAGGAGACTTGGTTGTCATCATCTCTCAGCAGCCAGTAACTAGCCACGTGGCTCCCGGGCAGAGCTGAGGCATCTCCCTGGGTCTCGGTTTCTGCATTTGTAAAATGTGTTTTATAATACCTGTCTTCCTGCTCTTGTCATGAGATAATACTAAAGAAAATACTTGGGCGAGTATAAAGCTCTGCATGAATTCATGCATTCAGTGGATTTTTGTTGCCTGAGGTGGGTCTGTGGGAGCATCGCAAGCAAATGAAGTCCTAGTACATCAAGAGTAGAACTTTGTGTTTTACTAAGCCTTCAGTGATCTGCGTGACATGAGCTGTACTAGTCCCAATTTATAGAGGAAGACTTTAGATGGAAAGATTGGGTCAATGACATGTCATCACAGGTGCATCTGTGAATGGGAACCTACCTAGGGTAGTAGCCTTCCCACTTCAACTAAAACGTTTAGTTGTCTTTCAGAATTCTTGAGAATGTTCAACATAGTATTTTGTATTGAGTTAATGGTCTTTCCTTATCCTTCAAGGGAGAGAAGAAAAGATTTCTTTTTTTATATAAATTTTTATTTATTTATGATAGTCACACACACACACACACACACACACACAGAGGGGGGGGCAGAGACACAGGCAGAGGGAGAAGCAGGCTCCATGCACCGGGAGCCCGACGTGGGATTCCATCCCAGGTCTCCAGGATCACGCCCTGGGCCAAAGGCAGGCGCCAAACCGCTGTGTCACCCAGGGATCATGAAAAGATTTCTTTTGAGAGGGAGCATCTTTGGTACGGAGACTGAAAAAAAGATTAAATATAGAAATCTCAATGGAATAATTTCATTAGCATGCTGATGAGGTTGGCTTCTGCGCCTTGATTATGTCAACAGGAGGCCATTGGTAGTGGCTGCTGAGTGACTGGGCTCTACAAGCAACAGTGTGGGAGGAAACTGGAATTTTGGAGATCTTGTGCCAGCATTTAGCTGTGGCTCCCCTCTAGTTTGAACCCTCCAAGTATGATGGATCTAGCCAGTAATAGTTATCAGGCTGGGCCACTGGGGCCAAATCATAAGCATTGTCCATTTTCTCAAAACTTATGATCGTTTTTATCACCTTTCTTTTTCTTCTTCTTTTACTCTTCATTTTTCCTTAATATTTCTGTAGCCTTTACCTGCACTGCCCTATCAACTTACTGTCCTCTGGGTTTCAGCTGCTTTTTTTCATTTGCTTCTGGCATGCAGCAAGTCAGCTGTTAGCAGAAAGTGAGGTTGCAAATCTGGAAGTTTAGAGCCAATATAAAAAAATATCCCTCCAACTTTTGGCATGCAGATTTATGGTTGGCAGCATTCTATTGCTGTGAGCTGGCCAGTAGTCTCTTCAGTGACAGAATGGGACATTGCACCACTGTGAGTTAGCTCTTAGCATCCCATTGGGCCAAAGGGGCAGTGCTGACAGTCTGAGGATGGTGCAGTGAGATGGAGATCATTAGTTAGACTATGAGCAACGTAAGCCCCATGATTTGCTTGCCACTGGTGGCAGTCTGTAACAATAGCTGCCTGCCAACCCAGAGGAAGAAATGCAAACACATATGCTATCTATATCTACCCAGGGATAGGTAAAAAGAAAAGTACTGATTAATAATTAATTGTAGGAACTTATTCTCAAGAAGCGTAGAATGAAAATGTAGTGTTACCTTAGTGTAATCCGCCTGACGTTGTCCTGCATCATTTTACTTTCCTCAGTATAGCTCCTCAGCATCCCCCCCCCAATTTTTATAAGCTTGTAGAATTGGATTGCTGCATTTTGTACATGACAATTGGGCATCTCATTGATAACTCACTTTCTGTAAAGCAATTAGATTAGGATCTAATAGTATCTAAGATTTTGATGAAAAAGGAGGTGCCAGGTAATTTTTAAAAATCAGTTAATGGGATGTGTCACATTCTTCTCCCTGTGGTATTCAAAATTGTTTTGGCAGTAGGACACAGGAAATCCAAGATGATTCCAATGCTGAGATAATTGTTATTTCTTTCATTCTCAAGGGTTTAGAATAATGTATCAGTTCAAGCAAGGAAAACATATGGCAAATTCTTCCTCATTTATTTCTTAGCAGGGAATAATATTTATTACCCTGTCATGGGCAAGCAGTATATGACAAAAAAGAAAGCACCTCAAGGGCAACAGTTGATGACACTTTCACAAGAACTGCTGAATCCTGGTAGATTTCTTAGAAAGATAGAGGAGTAGACACTAGTCTATAGAGTAGCCAGAGATTTACTCTTCTAAAATGATCACTTAATGAAATGTTTGTGAAAAACAAGTAGTTGCTTCTTTTGTGTTTTGCATGTGTATGGTTTTATTTATCTTTTCCCAGTTGAATATTCTTTTCAGCTCTTAACAAAAATGACTGTGAATTTCTAGTTTTGACCCACTTTCTTCCCCACAAGACATTCATTGTGTTGTCTCAAGTTACAAAGGGGTTTCTGCCTTTTCGAGTCTTGTAGTAGGGATATCTAATCACTAAAATGGATCCACTAGTGTGACGCTGGGTCATCCATTCGTTTGATTTGGAACCAATTTCCAATTTACGTTTTGATTCATTTTATTAATTTTAAAACGTCTGAAGAATTTTCGAATTGAAAACCAAGAAACATTAAGGAGGATACATAGAGAGTTGGTAGCAAGCCTAAATAAAATCAACATGGGAAGTTACCTCTGTAAGATAGGACAATATGTGCATATCACATATATCGTGAGTCATTAAATAAGGTGGACAGAATATGGTAAACTAACAGAATGGCTGCCAAGGAACAGGATGATGCTTGAACTAAGTAATAGGTACAGTTGATGAAGACATAATTTAGATGATCCTTTATCAAGTCAGAAAGCTCTTGTTGAAAAATTGATAGGCTCTTAAGCTGCTGCTTCTAACAGATGTCAAAACAAAAGGGAAGACCAACTAGTAATGAGTATAACTGATACACAATATTCCAAATGGAACCGGGTGGTGTGATCAAAAACAGACATTTCTAAGATCAGTAGTAAACAAAAGATGTCGAAGGATGCATTTATTTTTAACCAGAGGACAAAATTATGAAAATAAAAGATCATCCCGTATGCTTATTTTTTATACAGAGGGCTTGGAGAAATGAGCATTTATATTAAAGGAATATTTGGTTTATGTGGGATAGAGATGATACATTTCCAAGTAATGTGTAAGAAAATGGACGTCTCTTTGCATAATTTTCCTTTCAAGATCTTCAACGTCTCAGGGTCATCATAATAGAAGTCTATTTTTACCAAACACTGCTGTAGATGCAGATGATATAGGAAATTGAGTTGGCTGCTCATATAGTTCTAAGGTTATCTAATGCAAGAGCTGATTTATTATTTAATTGCCATTTCTCATAAAAGTAGAATGCAGAATGTGAGAATACCACCACCGGGTTTTAGCTTAGCTTTCTCATTTGTTTGAGTTCAGGCCAGTGAGCATTCACTGTACATTTTTCAAG